GACTTCAGTGAGGGCAGTCTGTCTGTTCCTGGCACCCATGGAAAGTAAAGGAGTCATGCCTGAAGCCCCAGAGCCCAAAGGCCTGGGTGCGCACCTCCCAAACAAAACCAGGGGCTATAGAGTCCATTTCAGGCAATGGCCACCCCTATGGACACTGAGTAGAACTGTGCTTCAGTCTTGTTTATAAAAATAACTTATTTTGCTGCATTGAGACGATACACTGCAGAGCATATGCCCATTCAGTAATTTCTACACGACAGTTCAGTACTGCTGATGGCATCCTTCAGGTTGTGCATGCCCACTCTCCGTTCCCAGATGGCTCCTCTCCTCTCCCCATTAGCATGCACTCACTGCCCACTAAGCTTCCTATCTAACCTTTCCAGTTGCCCTTGTCAATTTGATCCCAGGCAGAGAGTTCTTCAAAGAGCCCAATGCCCCACGAAGGCACTCTTGACTGGTTTGGAGAAGGTTTTGCATTTCTTACTGGCTTCCAGGAATGCTGCTGCTGCTGGTTCAAGGGCCACACCTGGAGAACTATTCATTCTCTTCCAAAGGCTCCTTACAATCGAGCCTCTGACAGAAAACTCAGTCTCAGGCCTCACCCTAACCCTGCTGAGTCAGATGTGTAAGAATGTCAAGAACCGAATTTTGCAGCAGGAGGGCTAAAGCCCTTCCTGGTCTCGTCTTCAGACGGTAGAGCAAGTGGCTGTGAAAGGTCCCCCTGATGGGGCAGGAATACAAGAGAGAGGAGCAATGATTGTACTCGACTCCCACTCTGGCCATGATCAGGATCACAAGAGAAGGTACTGGACAGAGAGCCAGGGGTCTTCAAAAAAGTCATGGACAAACAGATGGATTCTGGGCTCCCACTTTATTCTAGCCCCAATCCAAGAACAGCTAGCTCTTCATGAAGAGATCACTGAAGATATGGGTGCTAGAGTAAAGGGTAGTGAAGAAAGCAGATGGTACCCGGCTCTCAATTAAAGGTATCTGGGATCTTAAAGGCTTGTGTTCAAGCAAGCAGCCATCTAAGTGAGGCGTCAACTAAGTCTACATCGAGAAGCACACCCCCAGCCTGTATGATCCAAAGACAACAATAATCCAAATATGATGAAGGGAAAAGTAGCAGAGCTTCAAACATGAACATCTAGTTGACTGAAGGCTATGGAGGACGGGGGGAGCCAACATCCATCTGCAGGGTACTTACTTGTACGAGGCCTCTGGCAAAGCCCCTCTGGCCACAGGTGAAGGATGAGAATAGCTTTATTATCAGGCAGAGGTTACTGTAAAGTTGATTATGGCGGGTGGGACTAGGGTATAGTATGATACCTGGCCAGTTGACCTCCCTCAGGATCCAACCTGAATTTGCTATACGTTTAAATATGTCTAGCTTGTTCCTCAACAGAAATTTCCCCTCTGGATTATTTTAATATTACCGGTGACCTTTTCTTTCTTCCTCCTTTTTTTTTTTCTTTTTTGTTCTTGTTTTTGATTATTTGTTATGTTTCCTAGTTTATAAAGCACAGAAGGAGCAGATGGATAGACAATCACTGATGTAATAGCTTACTGGGGATACGCAGAGGGGGGGGAGGTTGAGGGGAATTGAGGAGCAATTAATACCGGAGGGGGGAGGGAGCACTAGAACTGATTGTGATGCAGTCTACACAACTCTTTTTGAAAAGAGACAGCTAGAGAAGTGTATGATATATAACCTTTCTATCAAAACTACTGGGGGGAAAAGGTCGTGGAAAAATGGAATGAAAAGATTATTTGGGAAAAATTCCAAATCATACAAAAGGCCAGGCTTACTAGTCTGGTAGAGACTGGTGAAACCCCTGAGACTATGGTTCAAACCTGGACCCAACCTGACCTCAGAGATCACCTTTCAGCCAAACGACAGAAAGACCTATAAAGCAAGCTGCTCCGCCCTCCAGCAACTTGCTCCCAATCAATCAATGGACCGGGTGGCCTCTGGTGACTAAAAGCCCAGAAGCACAGTTCAGAAGAGGGTGAGAAAGCGGGGCGAATGGAAGCAGGAGGGACGTGGGAAGAGTCTTGTTACACTCAGGGGGCAGCAACTAATGTCACAAAGTGTATACAAATGACTGAATGTAAAGTGAGTTTGAACTGTGAACGTTCGCCCAGACCACAACACAGTGCCCATGAATAAAAAGGCAGGGAAGGAGGCGTGAGGCCAGAGGGCCAGGCGGATGGGCGCTGAGGCCCAGGCTGGCTTGCAGAAAAGAGGAGCTGAGGGAGGAGGTTGTGGCTCAGAGCCAGGAGCAGAAAGGGGAGGGCAGGCAGCTTTTTAAAAAACAACTTAAGAGGAGCCATCCAGGGAAGACGCATGTGCATGTGGATCTGGTAGAGGAGGCGGCAAAGGACAGGCACCGGATGAGGCATCCGATAACAGCCTGCTGGGAGGAAGGTTTTGTGACCGGCCATTATGATCTGTGGTCAGACCGGCTCAGGGCCAAGCTGCACACCCAGAATTTATCTCATCAAAGAGGCTGAACCCCAAGGCGCCTCACAAATTGCTTGCAGCCACCAGGTTGACCGACAAAATGGCCCACTGTCAATCTGCCCAGCGGCTAGCTGGTAACTCGTGGGTGGCCCTCTCCTGAGGAAGGCCTGGTTTCTGTGGCCACTCTCCCAGGATCCCCTGCCCACCAACCCACGTGGCTGCGGCGCCAGTTCCACCTCACAGTGCCCCAGGCACACCCTGCCCATCCCAGCCGTCCTCCCTCTCATTGTGATGTTTGAGCCTGGGGCTGTAGCCCCGGTGTCCTCAGTCCATCTAGCGGAGGGTCTCCCTCATTTCTGCCGACCCTCTCCTTCACCATGACTCATCCTTCACCTGTGGCCAGAGGGGCTTTGCCAGAGGCCTCGTACAAGTAAGTACCCTGCAGATGGATGTTGGCTCCCACCGTCCTCCAGAGCCTTCAGTCAACTAGATGTTCACGTTTGAAGCTCTGCTACTTTTCCCTTCATCATATTTGGATTATTGTTGTCTTTGGATCACACAGGCTGGGGGTGTGCCCTGGAGAGGGTCTGCCCCAGGGACTCATCCCTCCTGGGGTGGGTCCCAAGCGTGTAAGACAACGTCGTGCCATCCTCCCTTCTGTACCGTCACAACAGCTTGTGACAATGTCCAGGCAATTTTGGCACCTAACCTACACTGGCTGGGCTCCTTCTCCCACCTGGAAGCAGCAGCATTTTCCTTATCTGCTCACATGTCCTGCCGTGAGGTTTTTGGACACGTGGCTCTGGTTCTGGACAGAGACATTGCCAGGAGGGCGCCTGGGTCCTGGGTCCTATGCTTGGGAAGGAGAGATGAATTTAGCAGGTTCCCTCATAAGGAAGAACTATGCTGCACACATGCCCACTCTCCCTTGTCCATGCGGGGCCCCTGGTGGTTTCATATGATGAATTGGTGGGGCAGGCCTAGCCTCCTATGAGACACCTGTATCCCAGGCCCATAGGGCACTCAGAGAGCTCAGTTACTAGCTTGGACTGGCCTGGAACCCTTGGTGTCCCAGGACCTTACTGTCCCAGCTGGTGCCTCATCAGATGAGTCACTCCCTTCCTCCACCCTCTGGCCAGGTCCCTGAGCTGTCCCCTCGCCTTGATTCCCCCTGACCTGACAGCTGAGACTTTCCATGGGAATGGCAGGGAGAAATGACTGGAAGACCCCACATTGCCAAGACAACCGGGCCACTTGGGGCCAAGCATAAGCTAACGACACAGCCACTCACAAAGCACCTGTTTTGTGGTACAGGCGTCACACATGTACCATTTTACAGAAGGGGGATCTTAGGTCCAGAGAGTGGGGGGGGCTTGCCTCCAGTGCCCAAGAGAAGAAAACCTCGTTTGCAGCTCTTCCAACTCCCCACGTGGACTCCTCCCACCTCAGGGCTCCTGTGCTTGCTGCGCCCTCAGAACAGGGAGCTCTGTCTCCCCAAGCCCAGCCAGGCATTCGAGCCTCCGAGCCTCCGCCCAAGCCAGCTCGGGAGAGGGGCCTGATTTATTCCCTGACAGGGCGGTGTCTACCCAACGCCTTGTATTTTTAGGATGTCTTAAGTGGGCAGTCAGGTGGGCGTTTGACTGCTAACTGCAAGGTCAGTGGTTCAAAACCACCGGCGGCTCCAGGGGAAAAGCAGCGGCATTGTGCTCCTATCAAGATTCCAGGCTCGAACACCTGACCTGGGGCGGCTGTGAGTGGAAAAGACTTGATGGCAGTGGGTTTGTTTTGTTTTGCTTTTTTAAGGTGGCTTCAAACTTTGTCTCCTCACGTCACCAGAGTCTGGCCCAGAGTAAGAATGGCAAGTAACACACCCAGCACTTTCTCCAGACAGGTGCTGGGCTAAGCACTTTCCAACAGCATTAGCTCACGCCCTCCTCTTCCTAACCCTGGGAAGTTGTTGTTGCGGGCTCAGGTTGTCATGGAGTCCTTTCTGACTCAGGGCGATCCTGCGTGCTCCAGAGCTGAACTGCGCTCCACGTTCCGCACCACAGGCATTTCTGGATGGGTGCATCTGCTAAACTTTCTGCTGACAGTGGAATGTTTAACCATTTGTGCTGCCGGAGACTCTGGAGCACAGAAGGGTTGGGTGGCCTGTTCACATCATATGGCCAAGAGGTGGAGAAGCCAGGCACTCTGGCACCGGGGAAGGGGCTTGACGCATATTGGCTGAATGAATGAATGGCTTTCGAGACTGCTGTTACCTCCAAGAGGAGCCCCAGGGACTGGTTACTGGTTGGGCTGCTGAGCCTAAGTCAGCGGTTCAAAACCACCAGCTGCTCCTCAGGAGAAAGACGGAGTTTTCTACTCCTTCAAGAGTTACAGTCTCAGATCCCTACAGGGGCAGTTCTACTCTGTCCTATAGGGTGGTGATGAGTCAGTATTGACTGGAGGGCGGTGAGTTTGGGTTTTGATTGGTAGCCTCCCCACCACAGGGCTGCCATCTCCCAGCCTCCCCGCCCCACCCCCACCCTCTTACCTCCATTAGAGAGCTGCAGCGCTACAGCCGGTGCCGCTGCCACAGCCCTGCCAAGAGGTATCCAGGGGTCAGGCTTCCCTGCCAAGCTAGGCCCAGGTGCTTTTGTGGGGGCAGATGGGTCCCTGGGGCGGCCAGGCCGGGCCTCACAGGCTGCCCGCCTCACTTCCTGAGCCACAGCCACATCTCGGCGAGGGGGTGTCAGGGTGATAAAGACAGATGAGGCCACCCTCTT